ATGAGGCGGAAAAGCCTCGAAGCTTTGCTCAAATACGAATTGGTCGAGTCAGGATAGGGTTCATACGCCCAACGCGTTATACCTCACGCCCAACGCATGGTCTTCCAGAGGCTTAATTACTCTCTATCTCAAAGCACGCCCGGCGCGGATACTCTTGTGCCCGGCATAGTGTTGAGTTACAGGGTGTGTTGCTCTCTATCTTGATTAAGCTCGGTGCGAGCACTCTTGCGCCCAGCGTGATATTACTTCTCCTGCTCCTTTGCTCTTTTAATTTCCAATCCAATGGGTCTTTACTTTAACTCTTCACTCAATACCTGCACAAAAAATGAGGTGTATCAGGGTATTGTTAGATGAGTTTCGGGTTAGCTATATTTGCACAAAAATTGAATCAAAAAGAGAACAATTATATTGTAAAAGTGCATGAGGTAAGTGAAATTGTTCAATAATTCCTATCTAAACATATGTATAAATGAGACTTAACAAATATACAACTACGTTAAATATTACGAGTTAGGAATGAATGCATGTATACTTAAGTGACTGCCCCCACTAAAATTTTAGCATTTGTAATATTTTTTTATAATTATAAATAATTCTTATAATTTCAAATATAAAAAATTATAATAAAAATATCACTCACTAATTTATTTTAGTTTTACCATGTTCATTCTCTTAATAGATATTCTTAATATTAGTGGAAAAATGCATCTCATGCCTCTACTTGAATACATATTTAGTGGATAGTATGAAATTATTGTTATTCAAAAATAGTTTTAAGAATAAAATGTCTACATCGAAAGACTTTTGTGACTTTTATTGTTTATTATCATTAGTTTATTTTTTACTTTTATTTTAAAGGTTAAAATTGTTAAAATAATGGGTACGTGAAAATAGGTAATCACCTTTATATGTAGGTATTAATTATCTCTCTTAATTTTTTTGTGTATGCATTTACACATTATTTTTGCAACTAACTAAAAAAATCATCCTTATGTCAAATCATATTTTTTCTATTTTCATGCATATAAATAAGTAATTTTTTAATTATCTAATCTTTCAATGTACTATATTTTATCTTTTTAATTGAATTTAATAGTTTTTCAAGAAATTAATAGTAATTAAAATATTTTTAAAAAATAAAATTTTATAATAATGTATAACTAAAATACTTAATTATATACATTTATATATAAATAAATAAATAAATATTGTCAACAACTTAAAATTTTTGAATTCGTTATTACTTAGAGTAAAAGTTTTATCATTTATACAGTAGTCGTAGGTGACTCAAGTAGAACTATCTTATATAAAAGACATAAGTTTTGGTTAAATTAGTTTTACGGTTGGGTTGATCTAACCTCAAGTGTGTGGTTCAGCGGTAGGGGTTGATTCACGCTTAAGCAAGGTCAGGGGTTCGAATCCTGCCTTATGTATGCAGCCACGTTAAATCTTGGGGCCAGTTATCACACCCTTTGAGACTCCTCCAACATAGCGATGAGATTAGTCACCGCTATCGGCGATAGATACTCTAGGGACATACAAAAAAAAAAATGGTTGGGTTGATCTTCAAACATCAAGATTTTGAGTTCAAATCTTAGGTTTGATAGAAAAATGATCCTAAAAGGGTAGATATTTTTGCTAATATCATGGTAAAAAAAATATACAGAGGGAAAAAGAGAAAAACTCTTTAAAATGAGAAATAAAAATTATTAATAATAATATTTAGATTATAGATAAAAGTAATTAATAGTTGAGATTAAAATTCGATTATATATATCTCTCCTATACTAACATGGCAATGACAACAAAAGTGTTGATAACAGTAACAATAACAATGATGATAGCAATGACAACAACAGTGGATGATAGTCATGGTGTTAATTGTGAAAGCAACAATAATAATGACCAATAAGAGAAGTGTATATAATTAAATTTTATTCTCAATCATTAATTAACTTTTTTCTATATTATTATTAATAATTCTTATTTATCATTTTAAGAAGTTTCTCATTATGAAAGTCATATATATATATATATATATATATATGTTAATTAAACCAATTTAAAAACTTTAATGACCATTTTAATGGTATAATTACTATTATTATTATAATAAGTAATTAACATCTCTAATTAAAATATTTTCCAGTGTTATTAAACACAAATTAACAACAAAAATTAGTATAAATTTTATTTATTTTTTATTTGTCAGATCTACGAAAATAGTAACATTTATTAATTGAATTATCAAAATACCTAGATATATAGATGACATTGGATCCATTTCCTTACTTATGATTGAGGAAAGGAAATTATCTCTATTTCAATGTGCTTTAATTTATTGTGAAGCTTCAATAAGACAACAATGACACATAATTGAAAGAAGCAAAGGTCTATTCTTGGGTTAAAACTTATATAGACTCACTTACCCATCATAGTATACTCTCACACAAGGCCTATCAACTCTATAATTAGTATTTACTGTTTTACAATGTAACAATACTAAATATAATAAATATTATATAAATGATCACATAATTGATACTAATAATATTAAAATAATACAACAACATCAAGAGACATTAACCAATTGTTATGCCCCACTTGGGTCCTAATATTTTTTTTTGTCATATTGGATGCTAACTTAGAGTTCAAGTTGTCTATAGATGAAATGTGACAAGCACTAGAGGTTTCAAATTGACCTAGAACCTAGTGAGCCAATTAGACCTTCCATGAGTTTGAGCTAGGCCAAAATAGAAAAAAAAAATTGCACCATTTTTTTTACCCATTTTCAACTTGACTCACTTAAATCACGAGCCAAACAAACTTAAGTTAAATTTAGATGAGTTGATTTGTTTAGCTCACCTATGATTCAATAATTCAATTTGTTATGTTTCTTTGTTATGTATTTGTCATTCGAATGGTAATTTATTTTGTATTTAAATTAATGAATGACTTGATGAAAAATGTGATTTTTTAAAAAAAGAAAAAATATTTTGATTTTTCTTTTTCAATTTTACATTTATTTTATTTAAAAAACTTGGTGAATCAACCCACTTAATTCATCAACTTGTAATGATCGAGCAAGTTAAGATATTCTTAACTCACCAAAAAGTAAGCTAAGTTGAGATGACTCACTTAAAACTATAACTTGTGGTGAGTTAATCTAAGTGAGTCAACGTGACTCACTTTAACACCACCAAACACACATTTGCACATCAAAAGTCGTTGCATACATTGAGACATATTAGAGGTTATTTTAGGCTATAATGTCCCATCTTTAGAAAAGTCCTAATAATCTATTTTCTTATTCATCACTATATATAGATGTAGTGTGTAAAAGTGGTTAGTTAGGGAATCAGTATTTATATGTCCTCGTCTCCTATTACTTTGTGTACTTATCAATAGATACACATGTCACCTCCTTACCTTTTTGAAGCACTTGAACATCTTTAATGTATGAATTATAGTGCTATGGGATATATGCTTATAGTTTGATATATAGGTCATGAGTTATTAAGAAAAATAACTTTACCATCCATTACTCTTAAATAAGTGAATCTCTTTTCTACATGACTTTTATTTATATAAAAGAATTAAACTAATCTAAAAAAAATATTTAAAGAAAAATAAAATTGATAAATTCAATAAATCTCATTTGTAAAAATAAAATACTAAAAAGTATGCGATTAACATTTGCCTAAAATTAAAATGTCAATTGAAAAGTTAAACAAAATACGTTTGACAGTTCAAACACATATTAGTGTTAATTTCACACTTGAGTAAATTAGAAATTAGTTCCTAAAATTGTATGTTGCTCTCCATTTAGTCTTTGATTTTAATGAAACTAAAAAAAAAGTCCTAAAAAAATGTAATTTGTCTCTCTTTCAAGTCTTTCAGCTAAAAAAATGACGTTTTCTTAAATAGAAATGCTTACATGGCATGATAGTGTCATGTGGCATACACATAGTACATATATAAAGTGACACATGTTATATGAGTATACTGTGTTACGTATTTATACTACATGACATATAACTATAAAATAATCATTTTAATTCTTAAAATGTAACATTAAGTCACTTTAGTCTTTAAATTTGCAATCTAATGTTACTTTAGTCCCATATTTTTAATTTGATGTCATTTTAGTCCTCAAATGTTATCATAATTTTATTTTAATCAAGTGATTATGACTAAAATATGTACACAATAAAATACATAATTAAGTTAATATTGTACAAAAATGAATTATATTCAAATTGTATTAAAATGGTATTAGAAGACCATCAAACTAAATAATTAAAAGAAAAAAATTTCAAAATAGAATGAATATTATGTACCACTTTAATAATATATTGTTAATATATTAATCTTTCTAAAAATAATATTATTTTGAATATTTATTTCATTTTATGATTATTCAAATTAAAACTATAATACTATAAACATTAAGTTTTAAGAAATAAAAAATATAAATATTTTTCATAATAAAGAAATGATTGACACTTGAATTAATTATGAAAATAAAATAATTAATATATATATATATATACCAGAATTTTTTTTTTAATTTATGTATTATAAAATAAAATAAATAAGAAATTTCTGAAATTTTTAATTATGTTATATCTCATCTTTCGATTGTTAAATTTTAATTATTTGTATTTATTGTATAACACACTAGAAGGGCTGAAACACTTCGTGCCTTTAATAATTATATATAAACAAATATTAAAATTATAGATACTTATTTAGAAAAAAAATATAATTTTTGTTTTTTTTTACTTTTTAAGGGATATAATAATGATTTATTAAAAAATAGAGACTAAAGAGGTGGTTACTAAAATATATCCCTTTATTATAGGTATAGATTAATAAAAAAAATAATATAAAATTAAAAATAGAATATCAAAGCCATAAAAAATGTAATTTTTAAAAAATAAAAATAATAATATGACAAATTTGATCATTACTCCTTCACACTTGTTTTTTTAGTCAAATAAAATTGACTATGAAATTGAACACAACGAATGGCCGGAATGGTCTTCCCCGTATCCTCCATAAACCCTAATAGCATTAATCCATTCATTCTTGTTCCATCAACACTAGCAATGAATCCCTTCATGCTTTACCAACACCAATCCCCAATATGAAGAATCAAAATCCAGTTGAAGTTCTTTTCACCAAAAATGTTGCTTTTTGCGCGCAACATCGGTGGCAGGGCCTCGCCCCGAGTAAGCTCCTTCTATTCCTCACCCCTTCAAAACCCTTTTCCCCTTTTCTTCACTCCTTCGTTTCCCTCCTCTCAAAATTCAATTTTTGCACGCCCCATGATTTGGTTCACTAGCTTTCTGTGCGTTATAAGATACCCCTTTGTCTCAAAACCTTCTTTTGATGACATTGCATCCGAATCAATGCGTAGTGCCTTGCAGAAAGACGGTCCCCACATGTTTGAATCAGCATTGGCACCCATTTGGGTGTCCAAGGCTTTGGTGAAATTGAAAGGGGACCCAAAATCAGCCCTGAAGTTCTTCAAGGAGGCCGGGGCTCGACCTGGGTTTCGCCACACCGCGGAGTCTTATTGCATTTTGGCTCACATTTTATTTTGTGGGGTGTTTTATCTTGATGCCAGAAGTGTAATTAGGGAGTGGATTTTGTTGGGGAGGGAAATTCCGGGTTGTGATTTTTTTGATCTGTTGTGGTCGACCAGGAATGTTTGTAGGCCTGGGTTTGGTGTGTTTGATACTTTGTTTAGTGTTTTAGTAGAGTTGGGGATGCTTGAGGAGGCTAGGCAATGCTTTTGGAAGATGAACAGGTTCAGGGTTCTGCCAAAAGTGAGGTCCTGTAATGAGCTTCTTCACAGGCTTTCGAAATCAGGCAAAGGGAATTTGTCCTTTAGTTTTTTCAAGGACATGGTTGTGGCTGGTCTTTCGCTCTCGGTTTTTACATATAATATAGTGATAGGTTGTCTGGCCAGAGAAGGGGACTTAGAAACTGCCAGGAGTTTATTTGAAGAAATGAAATGCATGGGTCTTAGACCGGACGTTGTCACTTATAATTCTCTCATTGATGGGTATGGAAAGGCAGGGTTATTAACCGGGGCAGTTATTGTATTTGACGAAATGAAAGATGCAGGATGTAAACCGGATTTGATAACATACAATTCTCTTATTAATTGTTTTTGTAAATTTGAAAGAATTCCTCAAGCTTTTGAGTATCTGCACGAGATGAAGAAAAGAGGGTTGCAACCAAATGTTGTAACTTATAGTACACTAATTGATGCATTTTGCAAGGCGGGCATGATACTGGAAGCAAATAAATTTTTCATTGACATGATACATGTTGGTCTTCTACCCAATGAATTTACATATACATCTCTGATTGATGCAAATTGTAAAATAGGTGATCTCAATGAAGCATTTAAACTGGAAAGGGAGATGCAGCAGGCTGGAGTTAACGTAAATATTGTCACCTACACGGCTTTACTGGATGGTCTTTGTGAAGATGGAAGAATGAGAGAAGCAGAAGAATTATTTGGAGCATTGTTGAAAGCTGGATGGACTCTTAATCAGCAGATTTATACTTGTCTTTTTCATGGATATATCAAGGCTAAGATGATAAAGAATGCCATGGATATTTTAGAGGAAATGAACAAGAAAAACTTCAAACCAGATCTGTTGCTCTATGGAACTAAAATATGGGGCCTTTGCAGACAAAATAAAATACAAGATTCTAAGGCTGTAATTTGCGAGATGATGGATTGTGGTCTGACTGCAAATAGTTATATATATACCACCTTTATGGATGCATATTTTAAGGTTGGGGAAACCACGGAAGCTGTTAATCTATTGCAAGAGATGCAAGAATTAGGTATCAAGACAACAGTGGTAACATATGGTGTACTAATTGATGGTTTATGCAAAAAAGGTTTAGTTAAACAGGCTATTAGTTACTTTGAACACATGACTAGAACTGGTTTGCAACCTAATATTATGATTTATACTGCTCTGATTGATGGCCTTTGTAAAAATGATTGTGTTGAAGAAGCCAAGAACCTATTCAATGAGATGCTGGATAAGGGAATCAGTCCAGATAAATTAGTTTACACTTCTTTGATTGATGGGAACATGAAGCATGGAAATCCTGAAGAAGCTTTGAGTTGGCGGGATAGAATGATTGAAATGGGTATGGAGCTAGACCTGCATGCTTACACATCACTGATTTGGGGTTTTTCTCGTTATGGTCAAGTACAGCAGGCAAAGTCATTGCTAGATGAGATGCTCAAGAAGGGCATTATTCCTGATCAAGTTCTCTGTATTCATCTATTGAGAAAATATTATGATCGAGGAGACATCAATGAAGCTCAGGCACTTCATGATGATATGATGAGGAGGGGCCTTATTGCTGGGACTGTTGACATAAAAGTTCCTTCTGTACACACTTGAGTGGGAAAACATGTTTTACATACTTGGTTTATTGTTCCTTATTTGGTGGCCTGCAATCTAGATTACTTCATTTTACACCAAAGTTCAATAACGTAATTGAAATGAATTTGATGCATCCTTATCTAATAGCAACTGGCTGTTTCAGTTGATGCATTCTCATTCTCTAGGCACTCAAATTTTTATGATATAAATCCTGCAGCTTCTGGGGCTTGCATATCACATTCATGTTCTCACGTGATCATCAAGACAGCCATAACATGATGCTTTCCTGGTTTGAAATCAATTTGGCTAATATTATAACTAGGAAGTTCACAATTATAGGTACTGGGCACATTCTTCTGTATACTTAGATTTATTTTCTTTCAAGTTATGTAATTGATACAAGTTGTCTTATAGTGTTATTCCTTTTGTTACAGTGCCCTTACTTCCAGCTGTTGTTAAAAAATTGCACAAGCTTAATGCTTCCCAATCAGAAATTGATTTTCACAACAGCAAATCTTCAATTGGCGGATGCAGAGTTCAGCCATAGTGGATGCCCTCTCACCACTTAGACATGCAAGGTGTATGATACTTTCTTTGCATTTTATTAATTATAATAATTTCAGCATATGCAACCATAGTAGTGATCTCAAGCCCCTTTACTAGATATATAGGGCCCTGTACAGAAACTTTCTCCGTTTTATGAGAAAACGACTTGTAAAATCTTTCCTAGCTCTGTTGAACTAGCACCACTTTTATGATTCTATGTATGCATTTCACATTATAAACGCTTACTGTTGAACATTTTTCACACAGTTCATACAGTTCCAAAAACAATTTTTATTTTGATTATAATTGTCAGCATTGGCATTGGTGTTAGGTACTACTACTTTTAATCTAACAAATAAATTTTATTGCACATAGATTAGAAATTGATGCGAGTTTTTCGTTGCTAACTCAGTAGGTAGGTCTGTCCCAAGTTAATTTATCCCATATTTCTGCCAATTGTAAACCAACTACATATTTAAGCTAACATGCTGATAATCAGCAGTACATTATGATCAGGTTGTTCTTTTGCTTGGAAGCTGAGGCATTTTATGCACCTGATATGGTCTCATTTGTTTTGCTTCTAGATGACATTGGATCCAAAAGGTCTAGAGCTAGAAATTTGTGAATCTTTCAATGGGTGGACAGATACAGGCTTCCCTTGTTCTCTTTCCAATCTTGTTGCTAACAAAGAAAAATACAAGATCAGGTATATTTTTTGGCATTAAAAAGTTTAGGCAGAGAAGAGGTTGTCTCATTATAGGGTTACTCAAAGGATGACTTACTGTTGTCCTGACACTAATAAAAGATTACCAGCATTCTCAGGTGTTTTGACCAGCCTTTGTATCACAAAGAATGAACAATTAAATGAAACAATGCGCCAAAACAATACCACTATATTATTGGGGTATGACATGCAGTATTTTGACACCTTTAAATATTTAAATGGCAGCATCATGCCATGTATGTCAATACTATCATGAATCTGGCGCCCATATTCAATGAATGTGGATACATTTAAAATCCTACAATGAAGATGCAGGAAATGGGGGTACACAAGTTCATATGTATATTAGATTTTTGTTAGCATAAAGAAATTCAGCGACAATTTCTACTCAACTTTCGGTTTAACAAACATTTCCATCCAGAAAGCTCATATGATGTGAGTGATGGCATCCAAAGAAAAAATGGACCACATGACGTTAATGTGAGTTGTGGAATCCAAAGAAAAAGTGTACAAGACCAACAAAAAAAAATTATATGATGAACAGTATGAGTTCAGATTATTTTTCTTTTCCTTGTGTCTGCAAAATAATAGAACTGTACAAAAAAAAATTATACATCAGATTGCGACATGTATTCACCAATAATTCCCCTCTTCCCCATTTCACCTGAATCTGTCGGCGTTGTATTTATTTGCTTGGCTCTACTTTCATCCAGGATAAAGCCTTTCAGTTAGTGTTTAAATAGGAAATATAACAAATATGCAAGTGTAAACACGTAGAAGATATAAAATCAAGTTTCATGTTTGGTTTGTTAGAATGACTTCCATACGAACGATGGAAATAGAAATGAAATGGAATTATTTATTTATTTATTATTATTATTATTATTATTATTTTTTAATTTATTTTTCGTGCATGGCAATTAATTTAACATTTGTTTATTTGTCTTGTCAAAATTGTCACCATGCGTACATATAATTCTAGTGCTAGAAGAACAAAACACGTGATGGCAATAGAAAATACTGGTGGCTGTAGTAACAAATAATGATGGCAATAATAAGCGGAAAAGATAATGGTGGTAGCATATTTGTCATGATTTTCTAATTCAGCTTGTCTGAGGTCGATTTTAACGAGTGAGTTTAAAAATTAATTTAATGTATTTAGATGATGGATTTAAACTATATTTTTAGTCATTCTAATTCAATGCAATGTTTTACATCATTTTAAAAATTATAAGTTTTTGTAAATAATCGCGTATTAATATTTTTATTTAATAGATCATATTTTGTATAACATAATATGATATTGATATTGATATTATTTATTTTAAATTATATACTGTAAAATGTATCTTAAATTAAATTTCATACTTTTTTTTTTCTAAAATTTAATTATACATGATGATGAGATTTATATATATTAATAAAAACAAGAAATGATCCAATCTTGTCTCATATATCATAGGGATTGGGTCTAAGTTCTAATAAATGATTGAATCAAAATTTATGATTAGGGGAAAACAAATAAATTCACCCCTAGACAAAATTAATAAGGCAAATGATACATCATACATGTATTTCCCCTTTTTAATAAATAAGTCTCTTTTCAATTTTTTTTTATCTTCCTATATACTCTTTTAATTTATTTTTTAAAATAAATTATTTTTAATAGTCATTTTTTCATTCAACTTTTTTCCACTCTTTTTTTCTCACTCTATCATTTTCTACCCACTTTTGGTTGATTATTATTTTTTACTTTTTTATAATATTTTTTCTCCAAAAATCAAGAAACTCCACTCATCATTATTATTTTTGAAGTCTTATTTTTTGCACTTTTCATTATTCTTAAATCCTAATTTTTCACCCCATCTTCAATATTACATACATTAGACTCAAGGTTGTAATTTTTTTAAAAAAAGTATCATTTCAAAAGTTCATTGATTTTATAATGAATGGCTGATTAAAAATAATGTTTGTTTTTATTATTAACAGAAAAGTAATTTCTAAAATTGTTTTGTGATTCTTAAAATACGCTTCTAAAAATATTTTTCAAAACGGTATATTTACTATCAATACTTAAAATAAAACCTCCCCCTTTACGTTTTGAAGATTCAAATAAATGTCACTTCAAAGTAAATTTTGCTAGCAACACGTCAAATTTTTATTGCGACCAACTACTTTTGCATATAGATAACCCTTTTATTTGAATTTATTTATTGATTACTTAAAAACCAAACAATGTACCTCAACTAAAACCCAACTAGTTCAATCAAAAACTTAACCAGTATAAAATTATAAACTAAACAAATTATAAAATTGTACTTAATCAGTATGAACTGAAAAGAAATAGAAACTTCTTCAGTTGTTAATTGTGCTTTCTCAATTGTTATCTGATGAGAATATTCAAAATTGAATGGTTAGGATTCGTCACAAATTGCATGAAGTTGGGAGTGTTATTTCCCATTTTATTGCGGGAGATTTAGAAAGCAAGAAATGTAAATTTTTTTAGAATACTTATCAGCAACCACATGTAATTATAACCAGAATTTACAATCTTGTTGAGAGTGTGCAAAGTGCATTTGAACCCAACACTAGAGGTCCTATGCCAGATGAACATCAACGAATGGCTACTTGTATTTGTTCACACAACAATCATGTGACTTTGTATGTAGATGGAAACTGTCACACTAATCCTGGACTAGCAGGATATGGGGATTTTTTTAGGGACTCAAATGCTAGTTGAATTCTTGAGTTCTATGGTGATATCGGTGTTATGGATATTCTCAAAGCAAAATTAGAAACTATCCATCAAGGTCTACATTTGACTTGGGAGTTAAATTTTATTAATGTAATTTGTGCTTCTAACTCTTTGCATTTGTGAGTTTGATCACACATGGTACCAATACTTGCAATGGGTATGCTACAATTGTAGAAGACATTAGAGGTTATTTTTGAAAATTGGAATTGTTACCCTCCCATATATGAGAAAACCATTGTGCAAATTATCTTGCAAAGCTAAGATCACTCTCTGAAGCCTATTTCACGGGTTTGGAAGTGCCTCCAATAGATTAACGTGGACAGTTGCTTGCAGATGTGTTGAATCTATCTGTCCTAAGATTGTAATTTCTTTATTTTTTTTCTTTCCTTCTATTACCCAAAAAAAAAAAAAAAGGTTATGGAATTGGTTAAAGAATTATTCAACCTATAATAGAACCTATTAATGTAATTTGTGCTTCTAACTCTTTGCATTTGTGAGTTTGATCACACATGGTACCAATACTTGCAATGGGTATGCTACAATTGTAGAAGACATTAGAGGTTATTTTTGAAAATTGGAATTGTTACCCTCCCATATATGAGAAAACCATTGTGCAAATTATCTTGCAAAGCTAAGATCACTCTCTGAAGCCTATTTCACGGGTTTGGAAGTGCCTCCAATAGATTAACGTGGACAGTTGCTTGCAGATGTGTTGAATCTATCTGTCCTAAGATTGTAATTTCTTTATTTTTTTTCTTTCCTTCTATTACCCAAAAAAAAAAAAAAAGGTTATGGAATTGGTTAAAGAATTATTCAACCTATAATAGAACATATCTTGATATGCCAAAGTTTAGGGTCTTTATGGTTTTCAATTCAAAATGTCATGCTTCAGAGGACTACTTGCTTTCTTGCTGGTAAGTTTTATGAACTACCTAATTTTTCATATTTTCCACTGAGTTATAGCATTGACCACCATCGAAAGTGAAACCAAAAGAAATTAATCCATAATAAAGTTTCATTTATTAAAAATAACTAAACTAAACAAGTCAAAAGAATCAAACCATTGAGCTTCTTGTGTGTGCAAAATCTTCC